ACATAATTATCAGAATTGGTCAGAATATATATTGGTTCAGTGCTAACAATTATACTGTTCAAGTAGATGTTAAATTGTGTAAATACTGAAGTGAATTCTTTCTCTAGTGTCACCATGTGGAATTTTATAAGAAATAAATAGCTGTTTTTTTGTCTTTAATCTGCTTTTAATGTTCTACAAATTCAACTCATCACCTTTTAAAATGTCATTGCCTTTTGTCGCTGACTAAAAGTGTCTATTGATCAAGTTCTCTGGGCGTCATGAAATCTTAATTTCCTGAAGGAATAAGGACACGCTATACTCTGAGCAAGCTTCGCACAATATCTCGGGTGACATCGCTACATCAGGGTCGGTCTCATTAACTTTTGACATCAGGTAGCAGCGAGCGTACAGGTCGAGGGTTAGCGATACATGCAGCGCTCACATAACCTGCTCTAATGTTAATGTGCTCCTCAAGGGTTGTCTTTCTTACTCTCTTTGTCTCATTAAGTGTTTTAATGTTGGTTAGTTTGTTGTATAAATGCTCGTTCTAAGTGTTGGGATGGCTGCTTTAAGTTTCAAGACACAAACACAGCAAATTGTTCTTCTAAAGTTAATTAGTTAAAGGGTTAGTTGAACCAAAATTAAATGAAAGTCATCATTTACTCGACCTCCTGTCATTCTAAACCAGTAAGACTCTGTTCATCTTCTAAAAACAAATGAAGATACTTTTAAGGAAAGCTGAGAGCTTTCTCTCCCTCCTTTGAATATCCACGCAACCAAAACTCTGATGCTTCAAAAAGTTGAGTAAGACTTTATAAGAGTAATCCATATGAATTGAAAAGTTTAAGCAAGTTATTGCGCATCAAGCAAGTTTGAGCTTCTGTGTTTGCCATATTTGATGTGCTCTTTATATGCGTGTTGATCAACGTTTTGAAGCATCAAAGTTTTAGTGGAATGGACTTTAAATGGAATTACATTGTTTTATTAATGTCTTAATTTGTGTTTCAAAGATCGTATGGGTTTGGAATATGACGTTTGGCGATATGACGTTCAGTAAATGACATCTGGTCTAAATGACATCAGGTAACTGCATTAAAAGCGTTAAAACTGTTTAAGAGCCAATATACTGTATTAACACATAACACAAACTAAATAAATAAAACTGTTTAAGAAACGGTGGTGAACAGCAGTTTAACAGAATATTTATTTTGCTTTAAAATAAGCTTCTGGGAACCCTGAGTAATTGCTATTGATTTAAAAATATTTGAATTCAAATGAACTCTTGTAGCAAACAATCGTGACATACTAAGAGGTTGTGTTTGCTCATTCAGTTGACTTACAGTTGTCATTTATTTTGACTTAAGCCCCGTTCACACCAAGAACGCTAACTATAAAGATGACAATATTAGTGTCCACACCAGCGGACGATATCGTCTGTTTATTCTAAGTGCACGCTCATCTGCCGCTTTAAATTCTCAAGCTCGTTATATTGGGATAGATTCTGATTGGGTGTCGATGTTTTTATCGTTCGTCAGCTGGAAAAAAATAGTTCTGAAAGTGATTCCAATCTTTATATAGGAATGATTCAATCTGAAATAGTTAACCACATTAGCACACAGGCCTGACAAAAAAAAAAGTATATAGTATATTAGTATGTACTGTAGTATATTTATACTTTGGTAGTGTATGAAACCAATTTGTAGCATCTTAGATTTTTATGTAGTACAGGGCTCTAGACTGCGACTAAAATGGTCGCATTTGGGACCAAAAATATTAATTTGCGAGTGAAGTTTTTGCTGAGGTCGCCACTGGCGACTATACAAATTTAGATGTTATGACTTATAAATTTGCCTTTTTTCCTGTTTTGTGATCACATCTTTTATGTTGACGTAATAAACAGAGATGATGCGCATCAAAGTTTTCATGGAAAAAAGACTTCAAACAGTCCTCATCTCTGCTGAACGCCAGCGTTAACGCCCACCTGCTAAACACAGCTCAGTTGTGCAGCACGTGAGAGACGTGCGAAGTGCAGAAAAGCAGTGTCTATTTCGTGCACAACTTGAACAAACTACAACAGGTAAAGCTGTCAGCTGTCTGGATATTGGCAATATCATTAGCAATTCTATAATTGATACTATGGCTTATTGTTATCAAACTCTATAGTCTATATTCTGTGTTATGTTAATGCGTGAACTTCATTATTTGTAGTGCGCTTGCCGTCCAATATTCGCAATAAGCTTTGTTACCTTTTAATAAACAAAGTAGGTTATCAGCTTTAAAATTCTGCCAAATTCATAACGAAATTCAAACAATAAATACGGTTTTGGCACTCCTTAATGTAGCATGATCGACATCGCTTTAGCGCCTCAGTTTAAGCGGCACATGAACTTAGGGCTGCACGATAAATCGAAATGAAATCGAAATCGCGATTAGGCAGAAGCTGCGATTGTTATGCGTATCTTTCAGTGAAGCACAGTTCTGTGATCAGTAGTAAATCTCCATCCGAAGGCCAGAGGGCGCTCTCACGCGGAAACTCCAAATACGCCTCGCAGAAGAAACCCAGGAAAAAAAATCGCTGCAGCTGAATAAACAGAAGATTTAACTGCTTTTATTAATTCAACATGACTAATACACCCACGACTACGACAATATATGGTTTATCTGAGTTTGTCTTATTATAATTTTCATTATTATAAAGTATATCTATAATGCAATGCTAATCGACATAGCCTTTAATCACTGCTTAGAATACTATGAAATATTGCGTGCCTTATTCTGCGTAAGAAGCCACATCATCTCACAGAATGATTTATTTCAAACACTCGGCTGACGTTATGAAGTGAGTTTGGAGTAAAAACATGTTATTAAATGTGGTATTTTCACGTATATTCAGATGGAGCAGCATTTACTTCACAGAGCCGAGTTCACTGACAAGCTACGCAAACAGCTTTCATAATCGGGAAATTCGCGATTTCTAAGATTTCATAATCGCACTATTATATCGTCAGCAATTGTTTTTTTTGTTTTTTTTGCGTAGCTTGTCAGAAAACTACGGCTCTGTGTAGTAAACGCTGCTCCATCTGAAAGCACATGATGGAGATTTACTACTAATCACAGAACCGGCTTTACTGACGCGATGTGCATGACAATCGCATTCGATTAATCGTGCAGCCCTACGTGAACTTAATCATATCTTTCTCTTTACTACTATACTATGATAAAACATGAATAAACATCAAAAGGTATTTTATAGGAGAGCCTACAGTACATCTTACTGAAATGTCTCATGTAATCTCTCATTCAGGGTTTCAAACTGCGGAAAACGTGTAAAGCTTGTAAACAACGCCACATAACATTTCTCTCAGAATAACCATCCTGCGTCCATAAGCTCATCAGTCAGCTACAAAAAATAACTATAAAGAGGAGCTTTTTGCTAAATGTATGTGCTATATTGCATATTCATATTTGTACTTAACTTGTTGTCCACATGATACGAGAATGCGAGGCACGACATAACATTTATAGGATGCATTGAGGAGCCCAAACTACACTCAGTGGCCAAGTGATGCTGATATTATGGTCCATTACATTGGCACAGATTCTGTGTAATAAACAATTCTTTGTGACTGTATATAGTTCTCAAGTTGGAAAAGACGTTTAGTCCCGACTTTAAGTGAACCTTATTTCCCAGGACATCTACAAGATGGATTAAAATGCTGATAAGACATAAAACAGATGAGACATAAACACATGACAGAATGATTGAAATGTTAGTGTTAAAAAAAATAAAACACGTTTATTCTTTGGCACCTAAAAAATTATTTGGTGCCTAGTTTTGTTTCTTATAGAAGCCAAAGGCTCCTTAGTAAATTTTTTTTTTGTCTGGAGTCCTGTAGGAACTTTCTTGCTTTTTATATCAATGCATTGTTTTTTTTTTTCTTTGAGGCAATATTCTTAGACTTGCATTGGATTCCTGAGGCTGACTTTCTTTCTCCAATAAGTGTACTGTACAGCAAAGCTGCGTTTATATTCATTTGGTTATTGCCTTTGTATACAGGAAAAATACTTCTGTAGCCCATGGGGCTGCTGCTGCAGGAAAAATGTAAATGAACAGTTTAACAAGCGAAATCATCCAATCTCAGTTTTTGGAAAGAAGTGTACTTGTGATAAGAACAGGTCAGTGGTGGAGTCTGGCACGTGTTTTTGAGTCCCTTTTCAGAGACGGTTAAACCACAGGGGGCCAAAGCTTCATTCATCACATATCAAGTCTGTGCGAGTCCTGTTCCTGTCACGTCACCGTGTCTGTTTCTCATCCCATGTTTCTTTTTCAGAACTACTGAAGGTCTGTGTGCTTGTCTGATTTATTGATAGCGTTCTTTATCTTGAGTGTGATGTATTTGAACGACAGTAGGTCATAGGCTCCTGTCCTGTGCTGCATGTTTAAATGTTGATATCTGATGTGAAATCCAACCCCTGAATGAAACGTCTCTATAACGTTAATTGCCCTGTTCGTCTCATAACACACCGCATGATGACCGGGGAAGAGATTATGCACTGTAACTAGAGCTGGGCGATGTAGCAGAAAATATGAGCAGATATTAGATATCGACGTAGAAATGTTAAAAATTACAGGAAACGGGATTATTTTTTTTAGTGTAACAACTAAAATAGTGCAGTTAAAATAAACGAGGCATTGCTTTTCCACTAAATGAACGAGAAAACAATTTTGTACAGTTATAAAAACATTAATAAATGACAAGTTATCTAAATTTATTACAATGTTTCAGTAAATATGGAAACATTTGACTAGCTATTTGAGTTTGGAATCCGTTAATTTACACAAGCGATCTGAGCTGATTCATGGAAATGAATCAAACTGACGTTTTCCATTGCGAATATATTGTGAATGTTCAGTATATCGCCCAGCCCTATCTGTAACTTGAAATACATTTGTCAGTTTCTCTTCGGTTTTCTCATCTCACTGTTATATGTGAATTTTCCGTTAGAGTGGCTTCTTTTATTCGAGGTGGGCCGCGTTGTTCGCCAGCTTCAGGTGACCTGCGCGAAACATCTCAAATAAAAGAAACGATGCCCTTCGATTATCCCGCCATGGTACTTCATCTTGGTATTTTTGAATGAATCATGCCCCATGTTTATCATTTTTTGTTTCTTTGTGTTTTTGTTTTCTTTCTTTTTCTTTTTGTTTTTTTTACTTTCTGTGCACAGCAATTGCTCTGAAATTTGTGGACTGAGTGCACCAAATACGATAGAACAGTGGGATACCTCAGGCCTCTACAGCTACCCTGACCAAACCAGGTGAATTTCCTCTCCTGACATTGTGCCACACTCACCCCACGAGACACAGGTGGGGCTGAACGAGCACAGGGGGCTCCAGGGGCCGTGAAGAAACACTGTAACGCGCTTCATTATAGTTGATGTAGACTTAATATCTTGAAGATGGAAGCACTTATTTTGTTGTAGAGTTTTAATTCTAAATGTTACAGTAGATTTAAAACAGATGGACACGTTTTCATAATTCCATACATTCACTTCGCTAAAGCAAGAAGTTTAAAACAGTGGTCCTCAACTGGTTTTATTGATTTTTATTTTGTATTTGGTGACCCAACTTATGACAAAATTTGCTGAATTTATGCAGAGATAAAAACTGTTTAAATTAACATTCATATATACACATTTTTTTTATATATATGCTGAGCCAAAGTTTGGGGTCAGTAAGGGTTTTTTTTCTTCCTTTTTTAACTAATGCTTGTTATTCAGCAAGAATACATCAAATTGATCAAGTCATCATAAAGACATTTATAATGTTAAAAAGGATGTCTGTTTCTGATAAATGCTGTTCTTTTGAACTTAATCAAAATATATTGAAAAAAATCACTACAAAAAAATTTAAAATATTAAGCAGAATAAAATTATATGAATAAAATAGAAAACTGGTATTTAAAGTTTTAATTTTAAAGATGTTATGTATGTATTGTATATGTATATTTATGTATATAAAATATTATTAATTTTATGTATTTCATTTTTTTGTTTTTTGATGATCAAATAAATGCAGAATTAGTGAGCATCATAAACTTTCATAAACATAAAAAAAAAAAACTTGCCGACTCCAAACTTTTGACTGGTATCTTATATGAAACTTAGTTATGCATTTTGATTGCATGTATATTAAAATAAACATTTAAACATTTTCCACATTTTGAAACCTTTCATTGTTAAATGGTTAGTTGCATTTAGAATGATTTTTTTTTCTTTGTCCCGTGATGTATACCACACATTTTTGGGGTCACCAACACTTAGTTGAGAACCAGTGATTTAAAATATTAGTATTCTGTTATTGTAGCTTTCAGATGTTTTAATCGTAATAGATGAATTTTGCATCTCTGTTGTTGTTGATGACTTGCTGTCTAATCTCACCATCTCCCCTCTTCCCTCCATCCATGCATGTCTTTCTCTGCTCATTTGGCACGCTCCCTCTCTTCCATTTCTCTCGCCCTCTCTCTGTGGACGCTCGGGTCAGATCTCTGGACGGGCGTCTGCAAGTGTCTCACCGCAAAGGTCTGCCTCATGTCATCTACTGCCGCCTGTGGCGATGGCCCGACCTGCACAGCCATCACGAGCTGCGTGCCATCGAGACCTGCGAGTACGCCTTCAACCTCAAGAAGGATGAAGTCTGCGTCAACCCCTACCACTACCAGCGGGTGGAGACGCCAGGTATGGAAATCGGCTGCTGAATTGGCAAAAACGTTTTGGCAATATGTATTATTTGAACGGAAATGGCTTTGCTCTTCCTATTGAGCATTCATTCAATCATCAGAACATTTGCTCCTGTAGTTCTTCCTGCTGTCCTCGTGCCAAGACACACGGAGATCCTGACTGAGCTGCCTCCTCTGGACGACTACACCAACTCCATACCTGAAAACACCAACTTCCCAACAGGGATCGAGCCTCCTAACAATTATATACCAGGTAGGAACACACACTTGTCCAGAAATTCAAGGCCAAAGACTGTATGCGTTATTGTGTAGTTCAAGAGTAATAACAAGTTGTTTGTGATTGCTGTGTGTTCAGAAACTCCTCCAACGGGATACATCAGTGAGGATGGGGAGGCCAGCGACCAGCAGATGAATCAAAGTATGGACACAGGTACATTCCCACAGTGACATCACTACATGGGAATGACAGCCACGTGTGTTTGCACTTTAGACAGTAAAGTACAATCTGCTTTTACTGCAGTAGTTTGCTTTCTGAGCTCCAGCCAGACTTTCCCTAAATTATCTTCTGTGATTGAATACTTAAAGGGTTAGTTCACCCAAAAATGGAAATTCTGTAATTACTCACCATCATGTCGTTCCAAACCCGTAAGACCTTCGTTCATCGCCGGCTCCTGCATCAGCAACACCACATGCATGCATCGTGGTACTCTTGTGAACGCGCATCGAAGACTGGCACGGAAGAGAAGGATTGTTGAAAAAGTCATTTTTGTTTTCTTTGCACACAAAAAGTTTTCTTGTAGCTTCATAACATTACGGTTGAACCACTGATATCACATGGACGATTTTAACGATGTACTTACTACCTTTCTGGGCCTTAAAAGTGTCAGTTGCGTTGTTGTCTATGGAGGGTCAGAAAGCGCTCGGATTTCATCAAAAAATATCTTAATTTGTTTTGAAGATGAGCGAATGAGGGTGAGTAATTAATGACAGAATTTTCATTTTTGGCTGAACTATCCCTTTAAGAGAATGAACTTTTCTAATCTCGCTCAGGGTGTCTGCGGGTCCTTAAAAAGTCTTAAATAACGTTTTCCTAATAAAAGGCCTTAAAAAGTCTTAATGTCTTAAATTCAGATTCAATGGGTCTTAAATATTTTGGTCACATTACTGCTAAAATATCTTAAGTCACAGACCTAATGACTGTTGACAGATCAAACTTTTTTTTTTCTTCCATTCGCGTCATCAGACAGAATAGCAGTAGCAGAATACAGGTCGAACTACTTTCTTTGTTTATATAATGTTCTCAGTAATAATAATAATAATATAGATCGAGCTACAGCTAGCTGACCAGCCTTCTAGCTAGTTTAAAATGTTTTTTTTTTTTACTTGCCCGACCGAACAAATAGCCTCATTAAAACTTTAGTGACAAAAAATAACCAGCGAAGCGTCAAAACGCGAGAATGATTCTTCTGATTTTATTAACATTCAACGTAAACCGTGATTGATAATTGATTTCTGGTATCAAGGTCTCGCTGTTGAGGCTTAAATGGTATTTATACTTTCGCCCGGCTCTGCTCCGCGAGCCTCCGCTGACTGCGCGCGCACCTTCCCAAACGGACGAGGCTTTTATACTTGTCGCGTTCGCCGTTGTACTATTCTTTGAAACGACAGGGGGCAAAGAGGAGTAATTGTCCTCTAAAACCTTCGGGAATCACCGGTGAGAAGAATGCATTTGCCGGTACAAGACTTCTCGCGTGATGAATGAGTTGATGAATTAAGAATTTTTTGTTCTTGCAAGTTCGGCTAGAATCGCCCAGAACTTGTGCAATTTCGGAAGCGGAGCTGTGCGGAAAGTTGCAAAAAATGTTGTGCATACCGCCACGTGAAATGACGTCGCACGCACTCAAAGCGAATTAATTGGGTATTAGGTGTAAATTCAAAATGATTAGGTTATTCATAACATGATATAGTTGAGTAACATACCATGACAAGGGGGCTATTTTGCTGAATATTCTTGATTGCAAATGTTACATTGATTTTAGTTCAAAGTAGTTAAGTAACGTTAGTCAAGTAGTTAAGTTACTTACATTTTAGACACAATATTTACCGTTTTGTTATATTTCACCAACAAAAATAGTTCCAAACAAAGATCACAGCAGAAGTACTGCACGTTCTCCAAGTAACACTCGGCAGTGTTTTGTTCTTTAATAATTCAGCGTTTTGAACGAATCGGTTTAATGAATGACACAATGACTCATTCATTAAGTGACTTACCGCCACCTACTGGTAGTTAGTGTGCATTCCCCCCCCCCCCCCC